GAGTTTGAACTCTTTAACCACTAAATTATACAGCCCAGAAGTGGTGATAAATGAATGTATTATAAAATCACAGAGAAGGGAGGGTCTAATTTTTTAATTCGAGGCTCAAGGCAGAGTTACAAGAAAGTTTTCACAGAGCAGCACATAGGATTGCATCAGGTGAGAGAAGGAGGGAGAGTCCAGACAGAGGAAATGGCTTGGGAAAAGCAGAGGTTTGAAAGCAGGACCTGCAAGTTAGCAGTTTATGACCAGGCTGAAGGATGTGTTTTAAGATTTATGGAAGGTAAACTGAAGTAGGAGAAATTATGGGTGATTTAAGAAATTTGAACTTTATTCTGAAAGAAACATAGCAAGTGTTTCATAAGTTTTAATCAGAGGAAGGACATAATTAGATCTTTATTTATTTTTTTAATTCTAATGACACACAGAAAAATAGATCAGCCGCAATAGATAGATAGTATTGGTGACTTCTCCTTCAAGGAGAAGCAGCAAGCCTTGGACAAACCCCAGATTGTGACTTGAGTGACACTGTTGTCCTAGAAGCAATATAAATTCATTACAACCTTTTAAGAAAATAATCTTGCATTATATGTCAAGGGTAAAAAAAATCTCAATACTTTTGTCCTAGTAATTTCATGTCTGGGAATTTATATTAAAGCGACAACACAAAATGCAAGATAAGCCTTTAGACCAGCATTCATGGTAGTCGTTCACAGTGCTTAACGTACATCGGTGAAATTGAATGAATCAGTAAATAAATGAATGATAGCTGGAAAATGCTGGAAACATTGGAAACCATAATAGAAGAATGGTTAATATACATTCACTGGGTAATTAAATCCAATTATAATAATGGTTCTGAAAATTACATAGATACATGGAAATTTTTATGGTGACTGCAAAAAAGAGTAGAAGGAGATACTTTATTATTATAGAATGATTACAACTTAGACTTATGTTTAGATAAATAAACTTGAAGGAGAAATACATCAAATCGTAATGGTGGTGGTTTTGTCCTGTTCTCTATTGTTCCAATATTCTTTGATATACTTAATTTGTTTTTATAATGGAAAAAAGTAAAAACATTGGGACTGTTAATTCTGCATTTATGTTTGAAATATCTGAAACATCAAAGTGGTAGCAAATAAATCATTCGAAATAGGCTAGGTATTCAACTCTGGATTTACACATTGGAGACATTCAATATGTGTCAACTGAATGGAAGTTCTAACCATTTTTCTTCTTTTCAGGTCAGAATCCCAGAATCCTATTGCAATGCATTAGAAGTTTCACCATCCTTTGAACTTATATAGGCTTACATCAATGGGGGGGGCGCGGGGGGGGGACTTTTTCTTTCCATACCTAAAGCATTTGAGGGGACTTTCTGAGCAAAAGTAAATTTAATCAGCCAATCTCAAGTAACATAGAAAATACTTTATTTCAAACATATATCATTTTATAAAGTTATTTTCTTTTATATAAAAGGAACATTGATTGCTTAATGCCAGTATCATTTTTCTTACTTAGCAGTTCTTGTTCAAGGGTCTGCTCTCACTGTTTTCAAATTTTAATGAACTAGAATCCAGAGGCATATTTAACCTATTGAATTTTGATGGATTTTAGATAATCCAGATATTTTCTAATTAGAGAGTTTCAGTTCATTAGGCTAGCATGCCAGCATACTAACTGTGCCTCAGCAGACATGTTTCGGTTTAAGATTGCTTCTTTTAGGGTCCAGAGTAGCATTTAGAAGAAAGGATTGTTTTTCGCTGTTACTGTAATAAATTGGAGACATGTTTAAAGTCAGGTAGTATGAACTGAGCCTTTCATTGTTTCCATGAAGATAAGGACCATGCCCATCAGCACTCAAACTAGAATGATCTTGTATCCAACCCAACTATCTGTGAATATGAGGGGATGTCGATTCATGTTTCACACTTTTGTCACATGAACTAGTGCTCCAGAGCACAGTATAGTTCTTTAACAACCTTTGCAGACAAAAGGAGTGGTGGTGAGAAGAAAAAGGTCAATTTAATTTCGAAGTTATTTACTAGTCCATGGAGGGTTTGGACCGTGATTCGAAGCAAACAGATAGGCAGAAACTTTGGTGATAGGTCATAAGAATAGCTGGGAGACCTACCTGAAAGGAACTCCTCACCAACTGTTCAGAAAATATAAAATTCCCATGAGAGTCTGGCTCCTTAAGGGCCACTTTCATGAGTTGTATATGTCTTATCATATTGGTGTGAAGAATCTGAACTATCAAAGTGACAGTTAATAGTAAACCATTAGAACAAGGCTTGGTGTTCAACTCTGGGTTTACCCCTTTCCTAGTGGACGTTTGATTAATTCATCCTGTACCACTAGTTGTAGGACCCACATGAAAGTGGAACGTAGAAAGGTCAGTTTAGTGTCCAATGAGACAGGATAGTAGGATGTAAGAAATGCCCCAAGGCTGGAGCACAATACTTAGGGCCCTTCCAAACCAGGGGTCATTTGGAAGGGGATCTAAAGCCCAGAGCAATAGGAAGGGACAATCAAAATCAAATCAAGCAATATCTGCCAAGCACTTCCCACATGGAAGTCAGTGGAATAAGTACCATAGAGATCAAAAGAAAGAAAAATGCAATGTGGCCTTTTCTTCACTCAAGGGAGTTACCATTACGAAAGGTGTCTGAGAAAAAATAGATACTTATATAACATTTATGGGATGTTACTGTGTGTTGAGTACCATTTTGAGTGCTATGGACGGTCATCTGATAATGCTCTCATCAACCTTACAAGATGGGTACAATGACTATGTTCATTTTATAGGTCTGGGAGGCACAAGGGGGTCCAAAGTCCTTGAAACTTTAGACCCAGGCATTCTGATTCCAGAGTCCTTGCCTTTAAGCATTAATGCTATAATGCCCCTCAGCAAATTCTTTATATTTCAGGACCTCAAGGGAAAGGTGAAAGAAAAATATGAGTATGCTTGCTTGGCAGAACAAGCAGTTTGCCTGTGACACCAGATTTTTCTCCCTCATTACCTGAACTCTTGTAAAATGTGAAATATACAAAGGATCTTTTTACCGGTTCTAAGATATTTGACCTAGGATAGCTTGGAGGGCTCTTATCACCCAAACCGATGTTTTTAATCTGATCCTAAATATTCTTGGCTTGGGGATAATTGGACCTAAGGGATTTTTGTTTTTCTTTTTGTTCTAAAGTCTTAGCCAAGAATATATATTTGTGTGTGTGTGTGTGTGTGTGTGTGTGTGTGTGTGTGTGTGTATTTTTTTATTTTTTTTTTCCTGATTTACTACCTGAAATGTGGGCAGCTGAGCAGAATTACTTGCTGGCCTTTGATCCCATTAGAGAGGTCTGAATTGGGGGCCCATATCCTTGAACGAAATCCGATATTAAAATAACACCAAGCTGAAGTCATAGGAGATTGTAGAGTAATATAAATAGTCAGAACCAAGATTTAGGGAAAATAAAATGAGTTTCAGTTGGCTTCATTTGCTCACTTGTAACTTTCCTTTTACTCTTGAGTGATTCTTAACCCACCTCTTCACATATCAGAGACACAGCAAACATAAAATCTCTAATTTAGGGATTTTAGAAACTATCAGAGCTTGATAAACAGCAGTATTCTATCGCTAACAAATTTGAATTTCTCGAAGTTCAGGTACTGCTCTGATGTCATTTTCCCATACTTGTTTTATCTTCAATGAATTTTCACTTCACATTTGGCCTTTTTTGAGGGAGGCCTGACCCAATGGCCTTGGATTTACAGCTGGACTATGTTTCATCGCAGTCCTAATATTTTCTTAAGAATGGTCTGTGGGCCTTTCCTTTCTCCTCTCTCATTAGTGCCCGGCTTTCAGCAAATATAGTAACTACTTCCGCCATTACACAAACACAGCATTTCAGCTTGTTTACAGATTCACTTAGCAAGTATTTATTGGAAGCTTCCTATGTGCCTAAGCAGGACCACAGTGAATGTGAGTGCCTCTTTAAATTCCATACCCTAAGGGCCTCATTTGCCTCACTCTAGTCCTGGCCTTGTGCCCAAGCACTGTGTTGGACAGTGAAGTCGCAGAGCTGATAGAGGGATGGCCTTTACCCCTGATACTGACAGTCCATTTGGAAACACATAAATGAACCATTGGATATCACTGTTATTGTCTCAAACTGTAGATCAAGCCATGCTACACATTTTTTCCATTCCTTGTAACTGACTTACGTGATGAACCCAAAAGAAACAAAAAAAGGAAAGTATTTTAGATATACGATCTTCTTCAAAGTGGCTTACAGATTTGGCTAAAAAAAATTCAAATACTCCTCTATCAAACTCTCAGAATTAGCCTAGGGAAGACTATTTTAAATGCTGTTATTTACCAATTGAGTGAAAGAGTAAAACTCTCTTTTCTGGCTTAATGAAAATAATAATAAATACAGAGACAAAAGTATGGGGACAGTGAATGGCCTTAACATCTTGATTGCTTTGAAAGTGCTTTCTTAAAATTGTAGTCAGAACTATTTTCTAATAGTTTTGAAAAGAGAACATTAATTTCCCTTTTGGTTTCTAACTTAGCTTTTTGGGAATCACACTGCAAAATTCCTTTGGAACCGTACCAAGATGGGAGATGGGATGCAGGGATTCATCTTTTAATAACTTCATTCTGCAGCTCAACTTCTGAGCAAGCACAATGCTTTGCTCTGCTTACTTATTCTGTCTCTTGTTGATAAAGTCTGATTTGGATGGTCAGAGAGCCATTCAGACTATTTAATCCCTTGTTTGCCACTGTCCAGCCCCTGGCGACCACTGGAGCATATATCTAGTATTTAGAAAGGGCCATTTGGTCAGAGGTGTTTATTTTATCAGGGCATGCTGGCCTTTAGTTCTGTAATATTCATTCTTCTATTTTTAGTCAGTGGACTTTTGAAGATGTAAATTATTTAAAGACAAGTTTCTGTTCCAATTTTAAATATTCTTGATTTCTTCTTAATTACAGAGCAAAGAGATTGCATTTCAACTTCATGAGGATTTAATGAAAGTTCTTAACGAACTGTATACGGTAAGCACATAACCTTTCTTCTTTTGCAAGAATCTTTGGTTTAGAATTCTGGTTTGAAGAAATAATGCGTTTATTAGAACTCATTCTAAGCTAGGATGTTGATGGATGCTTGTCCAGCTGAACTGTGGAACCAAGTGGATAGATACATACTGCTATATTCTTTTGTCACTTTTTCACAATTCGTATTCAAGTAAATATGTATATACAGTTAGCACACTTTAAGAAACTAGATTATAGCTATTCCTATGAGGCATGTTTTTAATTGGTTGATTGTACATATATTCAATTCTATATATTTTGTTTTAAATTGTTAACCATTCTTAAGTTATCCATCCTTGGATTTGAGCAATTTAGAGTTGCTTTATTCTGATACTTTAATTTTTACTTTTGCCTATTTCAGTTAAATTGTTTGGTTAATGACTTAATATATTAAAATTACTTTGGGGGGGTATCTTTTTATGACACTAATTTGCCATTCTGAATTAAAATTTTATTCAAGTCACTGCATGTAATCTTAAGAAATTAATTTAAAACTATCTTATTAAAAAGACAAAACCAGTGAGGTTGCAAGTTGGAATTAGTCATTTGCCCATGTAAATTTTTTCATACTTAATGATTACATTAAATACAAATTCCTTTTGGAGGAATTTGATGAATTTTTATTTTATAAGAGAATAACAATGAGAAATGAATAATATTAATTTGTTCTGACTATAGATATTTATTTGCATTTTTATTGCACAAGATTATTTGAATTTTTCTTTACAAATTAAACCTGAAACTTACTATTAAAATTTTCTTGATTTACAAATTCCATTTGTTCCTAAAAAGCTGTGTGTGTAAAGTGCAGTTTTGTGAATCAAATTGTTTCTAATGTTCCATTGATACTTGCTAATGAAAAGAATCCATAGTTTTAAACTTTTATAAATGAGTGATAGTCTTATAAACTTCACTTTCCAATTTTTTGTACATGTGAGAAATTTGTATTTTTATGTAGCATGTTTGCTACACCTGTACTTGTAAATTGAATGGAATTGACAATTTCTGTATGTTTCTCCTTTAGAAACCTCGAACTCTACGTGCAAAAGCCTCATGTTATAAGGTCATATCTATATAAGACATACCTGATGAATTTGAGTTTTTGATGATATATGCCATTTAGTAGTCCATGTTTGGTGTGATTTGTTGATTTGTTAATTTCTGATAACCTGAGGTAGCAACCATTTCTATAATTTCTGGATTTTTTTTTTCATTCACTTTGTCTTCATTAATGGAGAACATACTATGCAACATTCATTATGCTGGTAGAAATCCTGGATTTAAAATTCAAAAGTTAAATGAGCATGTGCCTCTGAGACTTCCCAGAAGAAATTCTATGTCATTTTCCACTGAACTATTTTAAGATGAGGACTTCGTGGCATTTTCCTTATGGTTCCCTTTATTTGAGCATTGTTTAAAAAATAAATCTTATGGTTTTCATGGCATCAGAGATAAAAGCCTGTTGCTTATGGTATGAAACTAATAGTACTAGTCAAGCAGTAGTGGCAAAGATATCCTTGGTCTTTGAATATGAGAAGTCAGAATGTCACAAAAATTTTATCTGAATGAGGGATATTTATCTGACTGCGTGTATAGTGAAATTTTTCCTAGATTCAGCCTATCAAGTGGACTCAGATATGAAGCAGACTCTTTATAGTTGAATCAAGTAAGCTGACACCTCCTCAACTCTCATCAGTATTAGTTTGAAAGCTTGAAGGAGCCAGGTTCTAGAAAAGGCCACCAGAGTTTGAATGACCCTGTCAGAGTCATTTAACCTCTCAGAATCAGTTGAGGAATTAAGGGATAAAGGAGACAAGCAATGAGGTTTTAATTAGGTAGTCTGTAGATCACTTTGAGCTCTTGGGAAAATATTTTACTTTAACCAGAGAGCATGCTTAGCTGACGTCAGAGGTCATGTTCCATGGGGAAAGACCTTTATATTACACACACACACACACACACACACACACTCGCCTTTACTCTGAAAGAAGATATTTGGTTTCTCTTGCACTTTAAGTTCAGATATACAAATTCTGTCTTGTTTAAATGAAATCTATCCATTATACATATTCAGTTTACATTCAGAAAGTAAGAAAAGATGAGGAGTATTTAAACAGTGGACCAGGAATTGAGAGAAAGTAGTTTAGGTTCCTTATTCAACCATTGACCGGTCATGAACAAATAACCTAAGTTGCATCATGCATAGAATTTTGTACAACTGATGGTGTAATAATAATTGCTGAAATAACAGGTATAAAATATGTAGCCTCAGGGAATTGAGGATGCCTTTTAATTGCCTTTTCAGACAGATATTCACTCCTTCTTTTCTCTCAGCCCTTGATACTCCTTGGGAGTTGAAGGTGTACATTTCAAGACATACATTAAATACCTTATACCAGTGGAGTGCTCTTTGTTAAATTATAGTCAGCCTTGGTGGTGGGTGGCAGCCTCATGTGTGGCCTTCCTTAACCAAAAATGTTTCTCCCACAGGCCTTTCAATTATTCCAAACATTGTATTGGAAAGCTTTGTCTCAAGTAAAACATAAATGCCCAGGAAGAATGGAAAGAGATGCCTTATGATTTTATACCTTAGAGTGCACCAGGTTTTATGAGGTCCTTTGAATACAGGCTGTATGCATCTGGCATGAAGGCCTGGACTTCTGAGCAGGGAAGAGAGGATGGTGGCATCAGAGTGCCATTTGGCAGTGGAGGAAAGGATTTCAAGACATGCATCTCCTTTTCTATATTTTTGCCTCAACCTTGTGTTTACTTGCAGAAACAGGGCCTCAAAATGGTTTGGAGCCTCCATTTGGATTCTTAGACCACAACAAGGGCCAGTCAAAGCAGTAAGGATTAGTTTGGCATTGAGCAACAGGAATTCAAAATAATGGCATAAACGAAAGAGAGATTTATAGCGTCACAAACATAAAAGAAGTTCAGAGGTTGGCAATCCAAGGTTGATATGGAGGTTACATAAAGCCATCCAAGATCAGGCTCCTAATCCACAATTCAGAGAAATCTGATTGTAACATTTGTCCTTCTAATTCAAGATAGTTCCTAGAGCTTCAGCCATTACGTCTGCATTCCTGAAATGGAGAAAGGAAAAAGGAAAGTAGGGTAGGCCCTCTGACCCTTAAGGAGACTCAGTGAAAGTCTCATATAATGCTTTCACCTACATCTTATTGGCCAGACTCATAACATGGTTCTACCATGCTGCAAGGAAATCTGGAAATTAGTCTTTCAGTTGGCCAGCTCATTTCTAATTAGTTACAAATTAGGGATTCTATTAATTTGAGAGAGTAAGGGACGATATTTGTAGCTAACTAGCCATGCCTATCAGAGAAGCCAACATTTATTACATGATTATTATATATGTGCTAGTTATTGTGCTAAGCACATTACTTACATTATCTCATATATCCTCACAGCATCATTGAGGTAGTTACTACTATCTCATTTTACAGATAAGGAAACTAAGGCTCAGAGAGGCTTGTCCCAGGTTGCCCAGTAAGTGGTCAAGTGGGATCGCTAGTCCATGTCAGAGCTCATGCCCTCTCCTGTAATTTTATCTCTAGTGCCATAGTTTTGGGAAACCATTTTCTAACAAAGATCTGTAAATGTAATGCCTCCCTAACAACACAAGGCACTTAAGCAGTTTTTTATCTGCTCACTTGTATTTTTTAGAAACAACAGCATTAATGTTGCTGTAACAGAAACATAGGTGAAAAATTGGACATGTGCCTCCATGGCAACCTGTACTTCTTAGAAATGTTCATTTAAATGATCCGACAGATGGAACTCATTGGGCTAAAAAGTAAAAGGGTCAACCAAGATCCTCAGACTCCCTTTCTGAGTCTGATGCACTAATTAACTTCCCTTTGAGTTTAACATTTAACAGAGAACAAAATGTACAGTGTGGTAAGAAACAAAAATGACTAGACTGGCATTCAGCAAACTTGTATTTGAATCCCAGCTCACTTAGCTAATCTGTGCACCTGTATAAGTGTGGGTTCTCTGGAAGAACAGAACCAACGGGAGATGTGGGTGGGTGGGAGGATGGATGGGTGGGTGGGTATTATGAGGAATTGATTCATGCATATAGAGACTGAGGAGTCCTAAGCTCTGCAGTTAACAAGCTGGAGATGTATATCCAGTTCTAGTCCAAAGGCCTAAGAACCAAATGTAAGTTCTTGCCTCAGTTCACATCCAAAACGGAAGACCATGTCTCACCTCCAACACAATGTGACACAGGATGCAAATTCTCTCTTATTCAGTCCTTTTGTTCTATTCAGGCCCTTGTTGGATTGGATGAGGCCCACCCACATTGTTAAAAAGACATTTTTTGAATGGCTGCTACTGCGCCAGGCACTTCTGGATGTACTGGGGATATAGCTGCAAATAAAAACAGACCATATACTTCCTCTCAAGGCATTTATATTCTAGTGAAGAGAAACAGACAGTAAACAAATAAACGAATAGTATGGCATAAGTGCTAAGGAAAAACAAAACCGAATTAATACAGATAAAGCATGCAGAACAGTGCCTGGCACATTGTAAATTCTTAATAAATGTTAGTAGTTAGTGTCATTCTTGTCATCATCAGTGGAGTGGGAATGGTAATAGCTTCTTGTCTGCCTCGCAGAGTAAATGTGGAGATCAAGGTGACATTAAGAGTAATTACAAGTGCTTTTTAAATATACACGATTTTTCCTTATAATGGGTATATATATTACTTTTATACAATAAGAAAAAGGAAAGTAACTTCTAAGAAAACCAGATCAGTGGTAAATGTGAACAGGGCTGTGATTGGGTTAGTGGGGAAGCGAAAAGGCAAAAACAGAAAAATGGTGACACAAAAGGTTAGAGGGAACATTTTAAACAAAATTGGCCTTCATCAGCCTGGTAAAGGGCTTATAAAACAGTGGTATAAAATGCGAAACCTGTCCCATAATACCAAAAAC